GCGGAAGCATCGCTACTCGAATCAATTATTCTGCCATCTACGTTTTTCTACTCCAATAAATTAACTGCCCTATACGCTAGTTCTTGCGACGTGAGTTTTTTTTTTTTTCGCTAAGCTTTAACGTTTACACTGCGTGACCTCCGTTGACATTGAACATAGCCCACAGTTTCTCGCACCCGTGACCTATATCAGAGATTATTGTACGATACGCCATCAGTTTCAATTGCGTGTTTTTAAAGTGCGTTTTAGCCTATAGCTCTAAAAACAACGATCTCGTTTGGTGTAATCCAATACCTGTTTTTTAACTATCGGTATAGGTTCTGCAGGTGATAGCGAAGAGACACACCTGGGACGACTCTTGCGCCTGCTACGGATCAATGCACATAAAAGGTTGCTTAGAACAACCATATAACACGTATATGTGTGGTGTGGTGTGTGGTGTGTGTGTTGGGTGTGTGTGGGTGTGGTGTGTGTTTGGTGGTTTGGGTCGGTTGTGTGTGTGTGTTGTGTGTGTGTCTGTCATTATTATGTGTGTGTTGTGTGCTGTGTGGTGATGTGTGTGTTTATGTGCGTGTGTGGTTTGGTGTGCTGTGTGCTGTGTTGTGGGTGTGGTGTGTGTGTGTTATGTGCGTGTGTGGTTTGTGTGTTGTTGTGTGTGTGTGTGTGGGTGTGTCTGTATCGTATGTGTGTGTGTGTTTGGTTGTGTGTGGTTTTGTATTGTCGGTCGTGTTCTATCTATCTATCTATCTATCTATCTATCTATCTATCTATCTATCTATCTATCTATCTATCTATCTATCTATCTATCTATCTATCTATCTATCTATCTACACACTCATTGTTTGCCAGGACAAATAATAATTGGGAGTATTTACTTTTTTGATGTTCGAAGATCTCCCACTCTTATCCTAATGTAGTGTTTACAGAATAGCCCCTAATAGAATGCTAGCGAAAGCTATGATTAACTAAAGCATTCACGCTGATAATGGCACACGCGCGCGTGCGTTTAAAATGTGCTTAGTGGAGACTGGCCGCAGCACGTAGTCTCCGTGCCCGCAGCGTTTTCTTACAGACGTATGGCAGAGGCGGTGTCAGCTCTAGACGGGCGCGTGTCTTAGACGTGACTGGTCTAGGATGCCGGCGCGCGTCTTACGCGTCCGTCTCAGCCTCACTCCCGGCGGGTCGCCTGCTGCTGTTGCACCAATACGCGGCGTTTTAATCACATTAGCTCGCGGCTCAGCCGACGAAGAATCTCCGTAAATCCTCTTATTCTCACCACGCGGTTGGTTCGCCCGTGGGTTCCACGCAGAATTCATGCGGTCGGCTGGCGGTGTGGATCAGCGGAGAGAAGGGGGAGGGGTGGGTGATGAAGGGGGAGTGGGTGGGTGATGAAGGGGGAGGGGTGGGTGATGAAGGAAAGTGACAAGTGTATCATCGTTGATGGAAGGTTTAGCGGAGCGTTGAGCAGTACTTAACGTTAACTCGGTAGCCTGAACGGGGGTATTACATCGTTCACCTATCACATCGTATCGTTCAGCGCGGCGTCCTGGTGGTCAGCTTTACTCACTCCATTCACATAAAAGGGATTTAAAGGATGCTATTTAATTAAGGGTAAATTTTCTACTGACATACTGACAAGCGCACGCACACACAAGCGCGCACACGCTTATACGTACATGCGCCCACACGCACATACGCGCTCACACGCACACGAACACACACACACGAACCCGCACAGCACACACTCACGTATTAGCGAACACTGGTGCACGCACACGTGCACGAACAAACACGCACACGCACCCACACAGCACATGCTAACGTACTAGCGCACACGGGCGTACGCACACGCGCACGCGCACGTACACTAACGTACGTGCCCACATACAGACGCACGCACTCATACGGGCGCACACGCGCATACGCATACGTGTACGCGGGGTCCCTCAATGATTCAGCTAAACTAAACAACTGAAAATACAGTCTACACCAAAGATTCTTGCGAGACGACGAGTTAAAGAAGGGTTGAAATCATTCTAGTTAATCCCATTAAAAGTGTAAAACCGACTTGAACCGGAGGGGAAACGTAACTAAAACCGACGGGAGAATGCAAGAACCGTCTAACATTGTTCATAATATACTAATGTTAGTTTGCTTGGTTAGATTTCATGAACTGGAATAAACGGAACTGCATATAGATTCAATTCAAGTTGTCCAATGAATCGTTAATCGCGGTTCATTTACTCAATGACCTACCTTTACCACGAAATTCATCAAACCATTCCTAAAAAAATGCCGTCGGAAAATTAAATTCGCGTGGAGCGAATTAATCAACTGATGTCCGCTATCGCGCATTAATCAATCTATAAGCGTGCTGTAAGCGTCCATTAGCCGTCTAATCGTGTTTTGATATTTCCGATTAGCAGCGTGAGTAGGTTGTTAATAGGGGGCGCTGTTCGCGTAGTCGGCGTCCTGTGCGAATCGCTGGGAATAATACGTCGCTGGCCTCCCGACAGCGGCGCTATCTCTGCTGCTCGTCACAGATCGCCGACAATACGCCCGCTAGTCGCGCCTAATTACTCCAACATTAGCCGGTCATCTGAGCAAGCTGCCGCCAAAGACACACCTGTCCGCCCGGATCGTCATCATCATCGTCGCAGCCATGGTCACCAGCAGCGTGGCTCCGCCCCGACAGTGAGCAAGATTTCCTTCTCCGGCACGAAAACAGAGATGGGCATTCAGCATGAGCGATCTTTATTGTTGCTGTCGGAATGTGTATGCGTTGTCAATATTTAGAGAGAATGTCCGTGTATCCGCAAGCTCATATCGGCACAAACAGCTCCAATATGTACACCGCTAAGTGGGCCTAAGTATTAACGATTTGCCATCGCAATTATTGCATGGAGCCAGTCATGCACAGAGGCCGAAAAATATTACGTTATTTTATAGTTAATATATTTTTAGGAGGTCAATATTGTCCTATATCGGTGTCTGTTCGACCAATAAACGAACGTAAAATTTGTTAATCGTTAACTGTTAATTTGCTAATTGTGTAACGCTTGGAAAGCTGTTCCTATATATCGTGTAGATCCGGCTATAGATTTAATCAATAGCGCATTCCATTCTCCTGGAATCCAGATCCGGAAAGCCGCCAATCGCGCAAACGGGCTACCTATATTCATTCAGCACAGAAAATTGCCAATAGATCACACATACATCGTCATTTTGCAATAATCGAACACAATCATGCGCCTGTATTTCTATATTTTTAATATATTCTATTTAATCACAGGAATAGACAGGTAGGTCTACAGCCATGGGCCGGATAACAGTTATGCGGATATTTAAGTATAGACAGGGAAACACGCCATAACCTGTGATTCTATACTTTATCTACGTAATTTCTATCCCAGTATTTTACTTTAAAGCAGTTTATAACAATTTTTGTGCCTTGTGGTATATATATATATGTGCAATACATACGCAGCGTAATACAAATGCATGTTCTAATACAAATGCATACAATCAAGCAATGTGCATACAAATGCATGTACTAAATGCGACGTTGGTAAATTGTTTGGTTAAAGGGGTGGACACACTAGGCGATTTTTCATGCGATCGAGCCGGCCGACCGAGCCGGCCGGCTCGATCGCATGAAAAATCGCGTAGTGTGTCCAGTGAGTCGCATAGATTTTCGAGTCGGCCGGCCGAGTCGCCCGATTCAAACATGTTTGATAATTATTTGAGCCGGCCGGCTGCAATCGCCTAGTGTGCCCGGGTCTGCGATTGAGCCGGCCGATTGTACAATTCATCAGCCAATCAGCGTGCTGAAAATCCGCAGAGTCGCCCGAATCAGTCGCGTAGGGTGTCTACAGAGTCGCCCGACTGAGCCGGCCGGCTCGATCGCATGAAAAATCGCGTAGTGTGTCCACAGCTTTAGTGTCTTGATACTACTGGCGTGAAGGTTATCAGCTTTAGCTTAGACGCATGCTAGCTACAGATGGCCGCGTTAAGGAATCGCCGCGTTGCGAACAGATGCACAGTCACGTGTGAGTGACGTGTCACGTGTGTAAGCCCACGCTGGCCTGGCCAGGTACATAACCGCACGACATGTGTTGGGAGATGCCGTCAGATGGCGGGAGTCTGTCAAGGAGGGAGGAACTCTGCGGTCACAGGAGTCACCGCCATCTGTAGTATCGCCTATATCCTGCAGCACGATGTACCGGAGCGTGACAGCGTTGTATTCTATCGCAATGCCACGAGTGAGCCGTAATCTGGGCTTAGTTAAACATCCCGCATGTTGTGGACGCGAAGGAAGGTAGCTGCGGCTATATATTGTCATCGTATCGTATATTGTCACGGTATCATCATTATCTGCGGTAATAGCTGTCTTATATCGTCATACTGTTCATGGGATGCACGCACCCGTATTCCCGCGTGGTATATGTATCACTATATGGTATATGTATTACTATGTGGTATATGTATCACTATATGGTATATGTATTACTATGTGGTATATGTATCACTATATGGTAGATGTGTCGCTATATGGTATATGTATCACTATATGGTATGTGTATCACTATATGGTATATGTATCACTATAATTATGGTATATGTATAACTATATGGTATATGTATCACTATATGGTATATGTATCACTATATGGTATATGTATCACTATATAGTATATGTATCACTATATGGTATATGTATCACTATATAGTATATGTATCACTATATGGGCCTGACTCAGTCGCGTAGTGTACACTGTGGATTTTCAGCACGCTGATTGGCTGATGAATTGTACAATCGGCCGACTCAATCGCAGTCGGCGACACTAGGCGATTGCAGCCGGCCGGCTCAAATAATTATCAAACATGTTTGAATCGGGCGACTCGGCCGGCCGACTCGAAAATCGACCGCGACTCACTGGACACACTACGCGATTTTTCATGCGATCGAGCAGGCCGGCTCCGTCGGCCGGCTCGATCGCATGAAAAATCGCCTAGTGTGTCCACCCCTTAAAGCGATCATTGCGAGTTGTTTTCAGCGGTTTTTAGTGTTTATTCTCACTCTCATGA